TATAAGAGGGGGCCTAGGGCAGCTACTATTCATGTGAATAGTAGCTGCCCTTGCAAAAAGCAAAGTGTGTTTCCACCCATTGTCATGGTAACCACTATTTACATAAGATATGAAGAGAGGAATTTGTATAGGGTTTTGATGTAGGAAGTGAAAAATATGACTAAATATTTATTTTTTTTAAATTCTGAAATTTTTAGTTTTTTATTTTTTATTTTTTGTTGTCGCTGACGTCAGCAAACCCAGGCTAGACTGAGGGTTGATTCTGCTTGAGGGCCAGCCCAGGCTTGTGGAGCCCACCCACAACTCGAGCAGCATTTGTCCGCTGGAAGGCCGTTTTGGGCCTAACCCCCCCTTGCCCGGGCACGCTGGAGTTGCTCTAAGGAGTTAAAAATTTAACATTAGATTTTAGATTACATTATATATATAAAAAAACTATTTGCTGTAATTAGGGATGTAATTCTCTTAAATACAATATAAATGGATATATTAGGTAGTGAGTAATGTGATTGGCTATAATATGAGACAAATATTTACGTGCAATTGTTGATGGAAACAAAATTAAAAATTTGTGTGCTACAAGGCTTGCTAAGTTTTGCTCTAATTATAATATGACCGGCAGAAAAATATCCTCTTCTCCACGTGAAGAATTACCATCTCATAAATGGCCGCGGGTCGAAAATTAAAATCGGGACAAAATTACGAAAACATAAACAAAACAACCAACTTGTAGCTCAAGTGGTTAAAGAACATTTTATGCGTTTAGATCCCTTCGTTTGCCATATCGTTCGTATAGAAAGAATTTATGTATAAACAAATCAAAAAACCTTTTATTGAATTAGTAAAGCAGGCTAGGGTCAAACTAGGAACTAGACCACCAGTACACATTGAGGTGAGGACGGTGAGGTGAAGATAAAACTCGTCAAATTTGAAACTCAACAACAATGACTTTATTTTTATGAAATTAGGGTATACAACTTATCAAAGGTATAAAACATGCAGCCTGGGTTTACATAACCGCCAGCAACAGCAAAGAGCTCAGGATCAAGATGATGTGTTCTGAACTATCCACTAAATTCAATTGGTTGATCAATCCAATTTCTACACTAAAAAACCAGAACAATAAAAATGCAGTACAAATTTGCTCTTCCCTTCTTAAACCCTTTTTTCTATGACACCAAAAAATAAAAGAATTCCTTGGTTTCAGCAGACCACAACCTTGATATTGAGAACAAAATGATCTTCACCTGAGATGGCTAGATGCAAAATAAACTCTGCCACCCCTTTCAGTAACAACTAAACTTTATTGGTTCTAAGTTTCATCGCCCTTTGCTTTGCCTCTGAGCATGTCAGTGAAATGTCCACGCATGATGCGCCTTAACCTAGTGTCTTCGACGGGTGGCATTGGTGCAGCCTTCGGAGACTCAACTGGCTCTGGCGGTAGCTCAACATTTTCTTTCTTGCCCAGTAACCCACCTTCACCAAAGAAACTAGTCACAGATGATGCAAGCCCAGCCCCCATCACCTTACTGATAGTATCAAAAGTTCCACCAGATCTCTCCTTCATTATAATTTCAAGGGCTTCCTTGTGTGCAGGATCCAGCGCATCATAGTCTCTCAACAAGTTCTGTATGGCAGGCAGGAGGAAATCCCGTACACTATTTGCTGAAACATCTGTATTAATTAAACACATTTGCCACTTGATATCAATAACACATTTTAAAACTTGAAAAATAAATCCATGCAAATTTAAACTTTGCTGACAATTTAACATAATTTTAGGTTAACGAAAGTCTGCACACATAATTCCAACTAGCTTAGAATTCTGGGAAAGCTAAAAGTTAGGAAATCTGGCAAAGGTAGTAGTTGTCAGGGAACCATCTGTTTTTACACATGCTTTCTCCCCTACTTTTGGTTCCTTATTAGTTCATTAGAACATGTAAAACCAGCAATAATTCTGGTCTGTGAAACAGAAAGGGAAGAGAAATAAACACCAACACAACAAAAATAACATTTTGGTCCGCGAAAAAAGAAGAAGAAGCAAACCTGTCGCATCTAGAGCACGAATTGCTTCACAAAATGCATTGGCTCTCTCACGACGGCGCATCAAGTCACTTGCAGGCGGACTGGCTGTAAGTTGAAAAATCTTGGATAAAAGATGTATATAATGTTAAAGAAGTGACAATTAAAAAGTGGATCCAGTAGAAAATTGCACAAGATCAAGGAATAATGAGTCCGCATATGAACACTTTGCTGAAAATGTGCTAATTATAATTCTTCAGTAAGTATGTAAAGGATATAATCTTTAAGTCTATCCGTTGTATGTGGTACAGCAACCACCAATGCACGAACCACAGCAATGGTAGCTTCGTGTGATCCATCTTCAAGAAACGCATCCATTTGAACACGTATTTTATCAACAATCTGGGAGGTTTCAATTGGATCAGCCAGATGAACGAAAACTGTTCCATTAAGATAGCTAATTTGTTGATTGCAGAAGGAAAAAGATTTGTACCATATCATTTTTAAAATGTTGGGCCACAGCTCCAAAGGCATCTATGCTTGCATACTTCACACTCAGGTTTTGGTCAGAACCCAAAGTAACTAGGGCAGGCAAAATATGAGTAGATGCAACTTTTGCATCGATATATGGAACCTATTAAATGGATGCAGTCAATTATTGTTGGTTTTAAAGTCACATGAAGAAACGAGTACTCCCAAGAGAATGGCGAAACTTACAATGACTTTCAACAGATTGGCAGCATTGATCTTCATATCTATATTGGAGCTGACAACCATTTCCCATAGTAAGTTAAATATCATACCATGATGATCTTCAAAAGTGCTGCATTATGGAAAAAGGCCAATCAGTAAGAAATAACTTATAATTAAGAAAAATTAGTTTTCAAAGGGTGTTTATTACTTTACTAACCAAAGGAAGCGAACAGCATCAACAATCTCAGCATTGCACTTTGTAGACTGATTTGTCACACCTTCAACTAAAAGCTTTCTTAGGTACTCCACTAACTGTTCATGCTTACTAGGGGCACCCAAAACACCAGCTAAGAGAAGAGGTAAGACACACATAGTAGCCAGTCTCTTAGCCACAGCCGTTCTTGGTCTCAAACCTGTTATGTAAATTATAGCCACAATTAAAGATCGCACACTGGTGTGAAAGGGTTTTAAAAGATTTCCGTGCCATTACCTTCAATTCTGGAATGGATTGCAGATGGGAAAAATGTCAACTCAGCGTCATCCCCAGTGGCTACCAGGAATACAGGCAGCATTATGTGTGTCAAATAAGAATCCCCATAGTGTTCTGATACAGCCAACAAGAACTGCATTACCAACATCTAGGTCAGAAACGATTCATAGAAGCACTGTTAATGAGGTAATATTAAAATCCATAAAAGATAGAATGAAGATACCTTGGTGGTTCGGTTTCGCAAACTATCTTCTTTTGGGGGTAACAAGCAGGCAAGCTGTATCAAAGCAGGAAAACAGTCGACATGCAGCCACTCAAATGCAGGCAATTGAGCATGTCCCCTACACAGATAATAAAATTTATTATAAGCAGTTATAGTAAACAAGTCTTTCCCATTTATCAATATCATTATCTCAATACAAAAAGTCAAAAGGTTATGCTCTGTCAGAAGATATAAGAGGAACTCAAAAGAAATATGAGATAATTAAAGTTGAAGAAGAAAAATGGACCTTACCTTGCATACAATTCAAGGAAAGATATAGAAAATATTGTCCCAGTTGTTTCCGGATCAGAAGCAATTGGGCACATCTCAATTGCTTTCTGGTACACAAAAGGAAGCATTTCCATTAGCATCCGTAGTAGAACATCAACATTCCAGCGTTCTCGTTCACCTAAAACACGAAGATGTGACTCCACTGACCCTTCAACGCCCGAAAGGGGAGGACAACGCTGCAATGTCACAATGATGTAAATAAAAGAAACTATTACAAACAAGGAATAGATTACCTCAATCATGAATGAGAAAATATAGTTAAACAAAAACATACCTGAGCAGAGCTTGATATATGAGAGAGTAGAACTCTTAAAATATGGTCTAATTTGTTTCCCCACTTGTTTACTGCAGGAACTAACTGCTTAAGTGTAGTTTCCACCACCACTCCAGAGGGATCACATACCAATTGGAACATCAAATCCTCAACCTATAAATAAATAAAATACAGTAAAATAATGGAGAAAAGTATCCTCGTTGACTTTATACATCTTTCTTGTCATTTATCATGTCATGATAAGGAGAAAGTCTCCATTCCCTAGACGATGTTCCATCAACCTATTCTAGAGCTTACATTGTAGCCATTTCTGTCAAGTCAGAATTCCTCTCCATGAGAGCCTCTGAAGCATATTAGTGAGGCTGACCTTGAAATATTTATGGAGTTGCTGAACAATAGACAAAATAAGAGAATCACGAATCTCAGGCCGGACAAATTCTGCAAGCTGTCCACATGATTGAGCAACTAGCAGCCTGCGCTCCTCATACATATGATTTATCTGCAACCCATAAACCAGAGAAATCCGTCAAAGCTATCAAAATGACAGAATGGTTAAAGATGACCACCCCTACAAGATTTAGGCTCAAACTTACTTGTTCCCAACACTGGGGAAGCAATTCTGTTTCTGTTCTCATCTCTCCTACATTCTTAGCAAGGGTAACACATGCCTGAAATCCAGTTAGAAGATTCAGGAACAAGTCAAAAACAAAGCAGCTATTTACAAATAAATGAAGTACTTCGACTAACAGCCTACATCCATTATAATTCTTCTTTGTTGCTCATCTGGACGTTTGATTAGATTAAACAATGTGTGGGTCAAGGAATCTCGAGTGCTACTATCTGGATGGCGCTCAATTGCACACATGATCAGGGGAAGAAGCTCCTGTAAATAGATAATACCAATAAGCTCTTTCAAGATCCATACACATACATATGATATATATTTATATAAATACATACACATACACATAATATATGTGAGATTCTCTCTGCACGATGTCTTTCTTAAAGGATGGTCGCATCTAGAAAATCTCATGTACTCTCAAGTTTTTCAACTTTATTCCATTATAGTGACAGGGTTGATTCTGTAGGATATAGAATGACCCTTTAGAACCTAAAATCTAAATGACAAGATAATCCATGACTAAAACCTAAACCTAAGCTCTAAATAGTGATTCTACATCTAAAAGTAATTGACCATGTCAATAAATGGCTAACAAAGCTGAAGAAAATTGAGCAGAAGTGAGGTTTTCTTAACCCGTCCGTTCTCTCTTAAAGAATGAGCGTCTTGTCCAATTAAGAACTCTATAACATATTTATATATGTGTGTGTGTGTGTGTGTGTGTATACTATGAAAAGAAGGGAAGAACCAAACCTCACGATGGTTGATCAAAACATAAGGAACAATCTTGGGCAAAGCATCAGCAAGGATCTGAATGGTCTCTAGGCCCTGTCAAAGTACAAGCATAACTTAAAAAGAAAAAAAATAAGAAACAGAGGGGACGGGCGGGATTCCAAAGCTTTTAAAAATCATTATATCTAAGAAGTTCTATTATTTAGAATTTAGATGGGCGTCCATCCAAAACAAAAAACAAAAAACAAAAGGGATGCCCCCAGCCAACCCTGGAAGAAGAAAAACATTTCTGATCCAGTCCAGCAGTAAAGGCTTTGATGCCCTAACAGAAAGGTACAAGGAACTTGCCCTTTTCTCAGAAACAATTCCAGCACTAAGATCCTCTGACGTTAGATGTAGCCTTCCGCCTGATGATGGTTCAGTATTTTGTTTGGAGACACTTTCATCATTGACCAAGTTACTGCTATCATTCAAAGGAGCCACCGAAAACTCTTGTGGAATTTCCTTAGGTGTAACTATATTGTCATCAAAAGTTTGAGCAGGCAGAGATTGATCATCTTCCTTTTCCACAACTCTTGTTACTACATCAACTGGATGCGGGATTAGACTTTTATCTTCATCCATGACGACGACTTTTTCTTCCATTTGCACAGACTCTTTCTCAGAATTGGTGGAATCTGAAAAATCAGGAGCTTTTGTGTGTTTGGATTTTAAACTTTCTAGTTCCATCTGCAGTGATTTTACTTCTTCCTTGTATCTTTCCAAGGACAGGGATTGGACATGATCAGCATCAGAAGCTACCGTATTCCGTCCAGAACGATATCCTTCAATATGCATTTTCAAAGCAGTGATTTCAGCTCTACAATCATTGAGCTCCTTCCTTTGGTGCTCCAGGGACTGCTTCAAATTCTGTACCTGAAACAAAGGGTGTGTTATTTTCTTACATATGAATCTTCATTGGATAGAAGCTCAGAATGCAGTGTAGTAAGGGGGCTTACAAGGTTCTCTTTATCTTTAAGGTCCTTCTGCAGACCTTCCAATGATTTGTTTAGTGTACTGATTTGACCTTCAGCCAAATCTTTGTTTTTAAGCAAGCACAGCTTTTCATGATACAAAGTCTCTTTTTCTTTCGATAACGAATCATTTTCTCGTAGCATGGTAATTTTCTCCTGAACATAGAAAATTATTATTTATGTTGAATTTAGGAAAAGCAAAAAGTAGAATGCACAAGTATCAATAATGTAACTAAGTAACTTTTTAATACTCGAGAAGCATCAAGGCAATCTAGGTATTCAAATCTACACTGTAAGTATCCATAACAAGAATTGTTGCAATCAGAAGACAAACACTAAGGAAAAGCACTGTGCACATTGATAAATTATTTATGAGCAAACATAAGGGGAAAAAATGTCAGCCCACAGATCTACAAATCAATATGCACATTGCCCAAGGTTTTAGAAAAATAATTTGCATAAAAAAAAAACTAATCTGTTTAAGACATCGCAAAGTAAAAGAGATGGGTTTAGTTGTGGTAGTAATTTCAGATTTCCACAGTGCTTAACCTGGATTATTTGATAGAATTAGCAACACTCAGCATTTAATGATACATTAATTTATGATGCTGCATGATTATATTTTAAAGGATATGCAGGAACGTCTCTTAATCATTTGTACTTTTCTATATAACAACCAAACAATCATATGAATTTAATTACAATTGACTAAGCCCTATTTGTCCACCACCAAGTGATAAGCATACAACAAACATGCCGCAGGGCACAGTTCAGGTGCAAGAAAGCAGAGGCAAGGTGAACAACATTGAATCCTTTCTCCAACAAGCTTGGTGAAGAGTGGTAAAAGGCATTACGTTCATAGAATTATTTATGAATAACTGCATTCTAAATATTAAGCCTATTTCTGCTCCCTGAGTGATTAAAACATACAGAAAATATGCCACAGGCCAGGTGTAAGAAAGCAGAAGTTCTCCAAAACTTTGATGCCCCTGTCAAACAAGCTAGGTGAAGCATGGTAAAAGACGTAATTTTTATAGATTTCAGCACATTTCAACATCACATGTTTCAAGAAATACCTCAGCAGCCTCTGTAGTGGACGAAAGATACTGATAATAATAATGGCGCAAAGCATCTGGCACGCATGCAGGTGAGTCCTGCCAAACATCTAGATTCTGGTCTGTGACCTGGGGAGAATGTATTGATAGGTTATCAAAACATTTGAAGATTAGTCAAACAGGGTATGATAACATATCAACATAGCCACACACACAAAGTGACAATCACACAACATTCACCTGATGCAAAGGTTTAGAAATCTAATGGGCCTCCAAATAGGTCAACCTAGTGGCATAATTCCTAAAAAAATTGTTCAATGCCACTGCTTACTGCAATAAACAGATCAAAATCAAATCCTATCTAGTAAAACGTTTTAATTTTCTTTTTATTAGAACTTGTTTTTCTAAAACCTATTTGCCTTTTTTTATTGATAAAATAAATTAAGCCTGCTGCTGTTACAATGTTAGAAAGTTTCCATTGCTTAAATACCAAGCAACTCAATCCGTGAGCAGGAAGTTTTAATCCATGAGCACTACGGGGTTCTTCACTCACGACAGTAATTTTAAGTTTAACCAACATTTTTTTTTATTTTTTTTATTTTTAAGTATAACTAGTTATTCATCATCGTTAAGTCAAAGAAAGAGATAGAGAAGGTATTACACCAAGGGATAATTAAACATATAACTAGTTTGTCATCTTTAATACTCTCAAGACACCTCCACCAAATCAATTGATGTCTTCCAAAAGGACTAAGGTGGAAATCATGTGCCTCACCAACAAGATGGACCTCAAAACAAAACAAATATATTTTAAATCTCTACAAGGAAGTACCAATAACCCAATAAACTTTAACACCAAACTCAACAACTAAAACCGCTAGGAAACAAAATATTTCTAACTAATGTAGAATTCTAATTGCAATATACTTTTAATTTACTTTGCACATACATATTAAATCCAGTACAATTTGTTTCTATGTGTTGTCCAGTTCCCCTAGCAAGACCACCTGTTTACAATTCGGGGCCAATAAACTACTAATGGTAGTTGAATTCAATAAGCGTGTGTGTCACTAATAAGAAGTCATCCTGTCTCCTATATAAATACTGAGGATAAAACGATAGGAAGAAAACAAGACATTAGAGGCAACGAGAGAAAAAGACAACTAAGCATTTATAGTGATCCATACCTCCTCAAAAAACGTCATTGCAGTAAGCCGGTACCCTGCTATAAGCAAATATTCTTTTACAGCACAGTTAAGATCTCTGCGTTCATTATCTTTCAATGGACCCAAATGAGAGAAGGAAACATCTCTCTTTTGCCGCTGAAATTCTGGTCCATTATTTACAGAAACACTGGAATTTGAACCTGAATCCAAACCTGAGGAGAAAGTCATGGAACAAAATCTTTTGTGCTTTACTAGTAAAGAAACTATTGTATATACAGTGTATCTCTGGTTTTCCACTGTTTACAGGTCTAATGCTGATTCTCAAAAATACAACTTCAATGAATCAGCAAGAGGAAAAAAAACAAAGGGGTAAGTCCCCAGCATTGACATGCATTTTTAGCATGGTTTGCTAGAAAACTGAAATCTAGTACAACTAAGAACAGGCAAGGATGTCCGTGTTCAGGATATGGCTTTATGGTCGGTCTTCATGATAAGATATGTTCAATGATTTAATAACCATAAGGCATCGATTCTTTATAAATGCATGGTTACTAAGTAGAAATTATTGAGCTAACAAATCATAGTGGATACAGAAAGATGTATCATATTAGAAGCAGAAACAAATATAAGAATACAATTTGAGATTCTGCACAGATGGAAAAATTACCTCTTGATTCATTTACAGGTGATTCAGCTTTCTTCTGCAATTCAGTCTTCAGTTTCAAAATGTCCTCTTGGGCTAAACGAAGCTCATATTCACTAATTGCTAATTTTTCTTCTACTGCTTCTTTCTCTTCTAGCAAACTTTGAGGATCTGCAACTGCATTAAGAAATGAAAGCAGTAGAAAGCAAAAAAACATTAGTAATGTTCCAAAAGGGAATATTAAGTATTGAGATTTCTGGAGTGACTGACAAGCATTAAAAATGTTCAAAAAGCTTTCCTTATCAAGTTCAAATTATCAGTTAATCAAGCAGAGACATGAAGACTATGATAAGTAAAATCATATTACGAAATTATGATATCATCATCACTACAATTAAGATGTGGGAAAGAAAACTAGGATAAAACATTTGTAAATGAGTTCTGCCATGGTATTAAGAAAGTTCAATTTAGGCTCTTTTCCCCTTATAATGCAGGAGCAAAGTTCAAAGTTTAGTAAAGGAGAGTCTTTCTCATTTCCTACGTAATAAATGCAATTTCTGCAGGCTTATTGTCTTTGAGTCTCCCTATGTCACATGATTAATGTATTAGGTGTAATAATTATGTCCTTAGAATTCCCAAGTGTATTAATGTGGACCTTTCCAGATTCATTTACCAATTACCTTATAAAAGGAGCTACTTTGTATGCTTAAAATCAGAGTTAGTGAAAGATAAAAGTTCTTGAGAATTCCTGCTTGTGTGTGGCACAATTTGTCTTGGAGTGATTCCAAGTCACCTTCGGTGCGATGCCAAAGGCCAGAGTGAGTCCGGATCTCTTTATTTTGTCCTCTCTGCTCATGCTGTCCTACATCAACTTAACTTTCTGTTAGTAGGCTTGTTGGTCTTGTTTGTGTGATGTTTGCAGTTTAGGGCCTTTTTGTTCTCCTTGGCTGTTGAAATTGTTGTCGTCGGCCGTATTGGCTTTCTGTTCCACTGTTGTGCACTTCTCTAAAAGAAGCTTTCCTTTTTCATTTTTCACTAAAAAGAGTCTCTGATGCTTTGGAAGCTCAAATCCAGAATATGGCACTAGCCCCACCCCTCCCCTCTTGATGCCCTTTACCGTTTCACTTACAGGCTGCATCATGCACAAAATTGATGGGATTCCTATCTTGCAAACTTCTCTTTCTTTGTAAAATTTGGCTTGGGGCTGGGGTGGTAAACTTGTTAAACAAAGAGTCCTTCAATATTCTTCTTTGAGTTTCTCTGACTGAGGATAAACCTCAGCAACCAAAACTCATTATACTAATTCTAACAAATCTTATTTTTGTTGAAATATAAGGTTTCTTATGAGTGAGAATCCAAGTGGGCCATCGAAAAGGGAACCAAGAAGCAAGCACAGTTCCTCTTGACAGAAATGACACAGAGAGAGAGAACTCTATATGACTCCAGAACAAAGAAACAGATATTCACACCTCAGCCCTTGCAGCTGAAAAGAGAGGAAATACAATTATGCATCCACAACATACTCATACTTTTGGTTGCATTATTGAAATATGTTAAGCCATTTCTTTTCTGCAGAAAGTAATAGTTCCACTAAATTGATAAGTTTCTGAACTAAATGCTTTCTCAATTCGCCACACCAGCTCCTTTACGAAGTGCTGCTATCTGATGGTTCAAGTAACCCATTTGGATACATGACTGAAAGCATTCCTAACACTTCAGTTCATTAACTAGTAACAAAATCAAATTCCATTTTCGACATAAAATGCCATCAACAATAAGGTTTCGAAGCCAAAAATTTCATTGACCCCCAAACACTAAAAGAGATGGAAGGATCCTTCAAAAGCAGAACAAATAAAAGATCACAAGCGCCCCATTTTGATGCCATTGAAAATTCCAAGAAAACAGAGCAGAAAACTAAATTCCACTCTAATGCTCCCCACATTTCCCCACATTTTCTCAGCAACCAAACAGAACAAAGACAATTTTCAATTAACCAATTCAAACAGATTTAGAAGTGCGTGTAGGAGAGTGTATCGTAAAAACCTCGAATAGAGTTGAAGCGAGAGATCTGATCGGGTGGGAATTGAGAAGAGTCAGCGAAGAAGTCCTTGAGTCGAATGGCCTGGTTGTCTCTGCCATCGTCGAGAAGCTCATGGAGCAGCTCGAACGCCGTGAGCAAGTAGTTCTCCTCCAGCAAAAAATTCACAACGCAATTGCACAACGACGACCTCTCCACGTCCATCGAAGCCTCACTATCTCCACCGCCTTAACACAACGCCATGGTAGAACCACTGAACCAAAGCAGATCTCAGGGGCTCACTCTCTCTGGTATTACTTTGATTTCTCAGGGGCTCCTCCTCCTGATCGAGTCGTTGAGTTGAAAGGAAGGATCGAAGGAAGGTGGGAGATCAGATGCTACGCATCGATCCATGCTGTCTCGCCATTTCAACCGTGGATCTTATGCTATTCAGCTATTGGCTGTACATCTAGTGATTCACATTTATTTAGTTAGTTACGTTCCGCACGTGTGACTTTGCATGGGAAAATGGTGCACCGCCATCAAAGGTCAACAGTTGACCTTCCAATAAAACTACCGTTGCTTCCGAAGGAGGAAATAGTAAAAAAAACATTTTTTTTCTACTATATTATATAGGCTTAATTATATGCCCCAAAACTATAGTCAAATCTCAAATTGTCCCTTCAAATTTAAAGTGGCCTACTTATCTTTTTTTATTGTGATTTGGTGACTCACTTTACCTCATATCGTCAACTTCATCCCAAATTTTGTTTAAATCTAATGACGTAACAGGAGTGCTTAAGTAATTTTATACACATTGGCTATTTTATGCTTACATGGACTTCACAAAAGCAATAAACTAATCAAACAACTTCAAAAAATAAAAAGAATAATACTAGGCTTACCACATTTTTTATACCACATGATGTGGTAGCTGATGTGTACATACCACATCATGTAAAATATTAGTTTCTGTTTTTCTAATTTTATTTATTAAACAATAATGCTACGGGCACCAACTTGTTTACCAACTTTTGAATACCAACACATGTGGCACATGACATGGCAACCCATGTCATCTGCCATCTCATCTATTTTAATTACATAATTTATTATATAAATAAAAGAATTTCTCACCGAAAAAAGATATAATTAAATATTAAAAAACCCATTTATATTCAATACCGCTACGGGCACCAATATTAAAATAGATGAGATGGCAGATGACATGGGTTGCCATGTCATGTGTCACGTGTGTTGGTATCCAAAAGTTGGTAAACAATTTGGTGCCTGTAGCGTTATTGTTTATTAAAATACACTTCATTCATTTAATTGATGTGGCATATGATATAGACATGGCACATTATGTGGTATAGAAATGTGGGATAATAATGTGGTAAGTGTAGCATTACTCAAATAAAAATTATAAATAAATAAAAAATCATAAAGCCAAAAGAAAAAAGAAACAAAAATTTAAAATTGTTTTAGTAAGAAATTAAATTCGCAGCCCCCATCCTTTTCACCACAGCCCCGATCTTCTTCCCTAAAGCACCATTTCCCCCAATCTTTCCCACGCTGCCCACGCCACCCTCAAGTTGAACTTCATCCCCACCTGCAACTCGCCCATGGTAGACAACACCCCAACAAGCACCAATCTGCCACAGTTCCCTCTACAAACTTAGTAACCACCATCTCCCACTAGATCCAATCATTCACAACCCATACACACAACCAATTCATCATGCAACAAATGGATCAAACCCCATGAATATCGAGAAAATGAAAACAAAAAACCTCACTTGTATGCTATATTCTTTTACGAGATTAGCATGTCAATTAAGGGAGAAGGGGAGCAGAGCGGAAGAGGAAAGAAGGGGCAGCACCATCCCTTCCTCTTTATCTCTTTTTCACATCAAAGGTGGCCCACCCCCACAACTCAACAACGTAGGCTCCCTCACCATAGTCCAAAAGAGGAGATTGAGAGGTTGTGAAGAAAAGTAAAAAAGATAGAGATTAAGGGGCTTGCAAATCTGCATTATGTGCCCCTTGATTCTTGCTTGTTCTTGTAGTTGGGTCTCGATGGTGGAGATTGGATTGCGATGGTGATAGGGCTTGAATTTGGGGTGGGTTAGTGCGGCTGGGTTTGCTGACGGGGGTGGTGGTGCGATGTGAAGAAGATGGTGGTGGTACTGGCAATGTGGAGAAGGTGGTGGTTGCTGGCTTTTATTTTTTATTTTAATTTAGGCTCTTATAAAATTTTCTTTAAATTATTTTAAAAGGGCATATGGATGAAATTACCAAAAAGCCCATACTATGTCATCAGATTTAACAAAGTTTTGGATGGAGTTGACGACAAAGGGCAAAGTAGGTCACTTTAAGTTTGAGGGGGCAATGTGAGATTTGACTGTAATTTAAGGAGGCATTGGTGTAATTAAGCCTATTATATAATCAAGAGTAAATTGCTGAAGACCACAAAATGAGGGCCTCAACCACAAGTGGGAATGGCAAGTTGATGAGCTTTATAGGTTTAATTTTGTTTTCTTTAAAAATAACATGGGCTACAGTAGGTTTTAAAAAAATTCTTCAAAAACCTTGTAGGTAGTTCCACCCCTTGTTGTTAGTCTTTATACAATAACTTGTCTATATCTATTTGGTCATCAAGTCATATTTAGTTTAACATGAAATTAGTCATTATGTGTTGTCTATCCCTCAAAATATTTCTAAATTTGAAATTTTGAGATACATTTCAATTCTAATATAAAAAAATTCAGAATTTTTAGATTTTGGAACTTTCGAATGTCTTAATTGATTTGTACTCACCAAAATTGGAAGTTTTCGAATTGAAATCGATCGGAATTGAAATTTCCAATCCAACTTGCACCCCTAATATTCATGATAGAGAATACAAGCACGGATACTATCTTATAGATGGTATATTTATCCCAAATAGACCATTATTGTCCAATCAATTTTAAAGCCTTAAAGACTATAAAATAAAATTATTCTCCAGAATGCAAGAGGTTTATCATAAGGATGTTTAGAGATCCCTCAAGCTCTCTTTGCGACCGGGAAGACATTGGGGATTTTGAAGACATTCGTAATTCTTCACATATGATTGTGATGGCAATGCCAAGTCTTCTACACCTTATGTGTATCTTGTGGTGGATGATCTTGTCGAGGCAGCCCAATAATCATTGATAAATATCGAAGTAATCGTCATGCAATGACAGATCCAATCTGTCGCATTACCCTTCGAAATAATGTTATTAAACACTTGTGGAGTGGAATTCCGATCTACCAAGGACAAAGCTAACTGAAAAACCCTAGCCGCACTCTGGTCCCCTTTCTCTTTGCTGACAACCAACCGCAAGGAAGCTAAGAGGAGGTGGCCATTGCCCCTCCTCCCCTCCGCCCATCTTCCTCTCCTCATTTCCCCTTCTTTTTCTCCCATATTTTCCCTTCCTCTTATCCCCTCTTCTCCTCCCCTTCCCCTCCCCAGATAGTCTAGATCTGTTTGGATATAGGTCTGTTTGTTTTGTTTTGTTGTTTTTGCAGTGTTCTAGGTGACTGGTTTTGTCTTTGTCTTGGTTGCGGCGATAGTAGTGACACTGGATTGTGTCTCTCATTGGGAGAGTTGTGATAATTGGTGGCTGATATTTTGTCTCTGTTATCAGCAACAGCGATGCTAGTGGTAGTTGTTGGGATGTGGTGCTCTTCTTTACTCTGTGCCAACCAAAGAACTATGCTTGGTCATATGAGGTTTTCTTTGTCAGGTTCTGAGTGGAAGTTGAGTGCTTCTTAGGGGTCTTTTTACTGTTGTTTCTGTGTTCCTCCTTCATGTTCTCTCTTGGTTTCTACTATGGTATGTGCCTTACAATTTGTATGGGTGTCAAAAGACTATGATTTTGCTCATAGAAGGCTTCTTTTGACAATTGGGATGTTTTGCGGTCCTCTCATGTGGGTTTACTATTTGGGGTTTCTGCGATCCTCTCATGTAGGTTTACTATTTGGGGTTTCTGTGGTCTTCTACTGTGTTAGTCTCTAGTTGCGGTTCTCATCGGAGTTCTTTGTGTTTGTTTTTGTTTTTGACTTGTTCTTTTATTGTAACGGTCCAAAGTGACATGAATTGGACTCTCTTGTTAGTCTTTGACATATGTGGTACTCATTCCTCCCATGGGGTTTGTCCCATGAGGTTGTCCTAAGAAGGTTTTAATGAGGCCACTCTATCATGTCGCTCTTTGTACGTCTCTGGTTTTATGAATTCTCATTCTCATCCCAAAAAAAAAAAAAAAAAAAACACTTGTGAAGTGGAGGCAATATGGAGGTGAGAATTAAGTGAATTGTTTTATGCTTTCAATACCTAACTAGCAAAATGTCCTTGCAAATGAAGGAAATATGAAATAAAATAAGTTGATATATATTGCACTACGAAAACAATTCATTAATGACACGAAATAACAACACTTTATTTCTTAAACTTCCAACATGGTCCGTGAACAAACTATAATAACATACAATAAAACAAATACATGATAATCATTCCTTTCTAGGAGTCATCAGATGGCGGTTCTGGATGATAGATGTCATCATCAAAGTTCAGACAACGGGAGGCTTGTTTCGCCATAATCTCCTTTTGTTTCTCTTTAACTTTGGCTCTTCTAGCCGGAGTTTCAATTGTAGAAGTTTCCATCATCATAACCTTAAACTCTTTGTTCTTGTCATAACTTTCCTTGTAAGACTTCATGACTTTAGCCATAGCATTACCTTGATCCATGAGATCATGCATAATATCCTTTCTTTTTCGTTCTTGAGCCTTTTTGTTTCGAATAGGCCTTCGATGCAGGTTTGTTGTTTCTGGGACATTTTGGGTTACCGAAACAGACGAGTTTTTATCAAAAATAGCCAAAATTTACCCCTACTTTCATAAATGTCAATTTTTATAAAAACTTTCAAAAATAGTAAAAAGCTCACTTAAAAAAATACTCAAATGCCCTCAAAACTAAAACCCACATCAATCTAAAAGGCAAAGGCTGCATCTCTGTTTTCAATTTGATTTCAAAAATAAAAACAAAGTTTCAATCAATGTTATATCATTGAAGGACTGAACCATGAATATGATTTCCAACCTGTAAACTCCCTTATGTTTCAATCAATGTTATATCATTGGAACAGGAAGGTACCATCGAAGCAATTAGAAGTGCATCATCAAACACAGGCCTTTGAGCAAACATATGGTGACTGGTGATCATGATTCAAATGACTTACACTTGTACCAGCAGTTGTACTGCTATGCAACTCAGTGAAAGATATATAGGCTTGGGGGCACTGTAGGGAAGCTTCATGGTTCAAGTCCTCCAATGATATAACATTGATCGAAACATAGGGGAGATTTATATGTTGGAAATCAAATGAAAACAAAG